CCTGCACCCGCCCAACTCCCTGTCCTGAGCCCCCTCGTACACCCTGCACGCCTCCTGCACCCCAGCCCCCTTCCTTGAGCTCCCTGCTGCACCCTGCACCCCAACCCCCTGCCACACCCCAAGCCCTCCTGCACCCCAAGCCCCTGCCCTGAGCCCCCTCATACACTCCGCACCCCTCCTCTGCCCCAATCCCTTGCCCTGAGCCCCTTCCTGCACACCGCACCCCCTCCCACACCCTGCACTCCCTCCCGCACCCCAACCCCCTGCCCTGGCCCTGCATACAATTTCCCCACCCAGATGTGGCCCTCAGCCCAAAAAGTTTGCCCACCCCTGGTTTAGCTTCTAACTTATATTTAGAGCCCACCAAAACATATAGGATGTGGATACAAATTTTGTACCCGTGCAGGACTCTACTTATATTGATTGTTCTCTATCTCCCCTCCCATTTTTTATATATTGCTTTTCTATTTTTAATTGCTGCTTTCACATCACCATTGAATCAGGATGGGGTTTTAGCCAAAATTGTCTTCTTTCTTGATTGCAGAATTGTGGCTTTTTGGTTATCTCATTAAACTCTTCTTTAAGAGCTCCCAATTTTCATCCACATTCCTAAATTTTTCCTCCCAATTTCCTCCTCATTTCTGAAAGTTAGCCCTTTTGAAAGACCAAGTACATACATTACTAGTTGGGACTATCTTCTATTTGCCCATCTTGAATGTAATCAGATAATGATCACTGGTCCCTAGGCAACCACAAACTCAAAGTTTGTCTACCAGTACTCTGGTCTGCTCTACAGGGATGTAAGTGATATTGAGCACTTCCATGTCACATACTAATTGGCCCATGTAATCTCTGCTGGTGCACAATAAAAGTTCCCTAGTGCACATTAACGTAGGGACTAGGGAACTTTTAGTGCACGCCAGCACGGACCACACAGGCCAGTTAGTGTGAAATCCATTAGATTTAACACCTCTCTGGTGCAGACTAGTGTACGGTGTAAAGAAGCCCTTACAATCCCATGATGAATTCATCTTTATACATCATAATGAGGCCCAAAATAGAGCTCCTTTGTGTTAGGTGCAATACCTTTGTCTTAGAAAAGCATCATATGTAATTTTTAGAAACTCTAATGATGTTATATTGCTGGGTGCTTGAGATCTCCTGCAAAGATCTCCCAAACTGAAATCTCCCATAATACCACAATTTTTCTTTCCACACGTTACAGACAGTGCTTAAGGAGTACCTCATCCTGTTCTTTGGTTTAATTTGATGGTCTGGAACAGAACCCCCACCAGCGCCTATTCTTAGGCTTTCCCAGTTAGCACATTGATCCACATGCATTCAAGATCCTGTGGTTTTAAGTTATTAATAACTCTATAACAGGTAATAGTGTCTTTAATGTAGACACCCTTACCCACTGCATACATACATCTTTTACTCACTCTATCCTTCCTAAGTAGGTTATAACTAGCAATTTTAAAATTCCAATCATGTGAATATTCCCACCAGGTTTTCAGTAATGCCTGTTATAAAATTTCTCATGATCAATAAGAATCGCCAACTCTTTCTTGTTACCTAGCATTGGTATATAAACATTTCTTCTCTTCAGATTCTTGGTCATATCACATCAATTTGTTTGTGACACACTGAGTTTGAGTTTGTACTGCATTTGGCTTCTAAGCACCCTCCCCTTGTGTTGTTAGTTTAACCCCATCCTGCTTGCTCCAGATTGTTTCTGGTGGAGATTAGCTCCCACCCCCACTTGTGAGATGGAGGCTATCTTGTTTATATAGCATCCTCCCCCACTGGAATGTGACCCAATGTCCCACAAAACCAAAACCTTCAGCTTCACATCAGTCAAACGTTTACGTCCACTTTTTTCTGTCTTCTCCTTTATCTCTCTCGTGGGACAGGAAGGACCTCCAAGAATATTACTAGGACTTTCCTCTTCTTCAGCTCGTTTCCAAGGTTCCTAAAGTCTTCTATAGTCTGTAAAGTTCCACATGATGCCAAGTCATTGGTTCCAATGTGTACCATCACCAGTGAACACTTGCCAGACAACTTCAGAATCCCATCCAACTATGCAGTTACATCTCATATTTTCACTTCACAGAAACAGCACACCTTCCTATGGTCCTTGTGTCCCTTACAGAATTCTCTGTCCATTCTTCTTTATATGGAGTTAGCAATGACGATTGGTAGCCTTCTCAGGATGGTTGAAGAGCCTTTCTTGGTAGTTGCATGTTCTTGCAGTTCAGCAAGCATCAGAAGTGTCACCCATAGGTTTCTGTTTCTTTCCTCCAGAGACAGATTCTTCAGTAGTTGACTCACTAATCATGTTAATACCTCTAACCAGGCTGAATGACTGCTGGTTCTCCTTTCCCTCTTTGTCATAAATTGCAAATCCACTTCTTTGATTTTTATTCTTTCCAGTTCCCCATGAAGCCCTTTTGATGTGTGTGGCAATGATTTCCAAATTTGGTTGTCCAATAAGTCTTCATTTTCTCAAATACTACATAGTATTAAAGATTGTGCTTCCAGACCAATATGTTTGCCAGCTTGCACTTAATGCACCAGCAATCTCTTCTGTCTTCCAGCAGAAAGAGAAACACAGCACTTCCAAGGCACATAAAAGCAACTGTTTCCTCATCATCAATATCCACTACTTGATGAGGAGCTGTACCTAAAACAGATGGAACCATGCTCACTTTTTAAACTCCCTCTGAAACTGCAATCAGCCACTCCTGTTTGCCTGTTAACTGTCATATACTAAGCCTCAGTGCTAGCCTTCACCCCTAGTTATCATGGAGAGATTAACTTTCAGAGACTTCAGACACTGAGTCTGTTCAAAGATCCAAGTGTGCCAGCCCCACTGAGCCACAAACAGACCTGTCTCAATGGGCCTGTTCAGCCTAGCCACACAACTCTCACAGAGAACCAACAAAAAAAAAACAATAAACAGACCAAACACCCACTCACAAAATCCTTCTGCCTCCAATCACAAGGATCTGCAGCTGTGCCTTCTAAAATTCCCATTTGCTGCTCTGGAGTTTGCCTCATGGCTCAACTTCACCTCCTCATTAACAGGGAGGGATTAACTACTCAGACTTCAGGGAACTCATCACAGTGACTGAGTGAATTTCTAAATCTATGTGCTTGCTAGGATGTCAGTAAAACAGGGAAATCCCTGTACAGCCACCCCCACACAGCACGTTGAGACAGGCAAACAAGCTTTAAGTAAACACAAAGCATCATTAACAAAAAATAACACTCAAGAGTCCTGTTTCCCCTGCTCTAAAGAATGGTCTAACCATTGCTCTCTAAACAACGCCTTATTAGAGGCAGGAAAATAACCGTGGAATCCTAAATCACAGCATTCTACTGCTGTCTAACAAGTAGTTCTGTAACTCACTGGCAGAGCATATCAGGTCACCCCTCTGATGACTGGTCCATATAGATGATACACTACTATTGCTTAGGGAGGCCATTCATCCAGGAATAAACCGGAAAGTCCTCATTTTGAGATGTTTGTCCCAGGTCTGATCCTGGAACAAAACTGAATGTGGCTTTGTCCAGTATTGGTCAGGGGATACCATTTTTAAAAGCATGCCAACATGACCTCACATGCACCATGTGCACAAGGTCACGCAACGGGGGGGGGGGGGGGCATGACGTTCCAGAAAGTACCGGAATGTCCAGTATTCCAAAAATGTGTGAGTGGCCATCTTAACACTGCCACCAATTAACAGTTACTTCTTAAGCTCAAGTACTAAGGCAGGGGTGGGCAAACTTTTTGGCCCAAGGGCCACATCTGGGTATGGAAATTGTATGGCAGGCCATGAATGCTCACGAAATTGGGGGTTGGGGTGCAGGCTCTGGGGTGGGGCCAGAAATGAGGAGTTCAGGAGGGGGCTCCGGGCTGGGGCAAAGGGTTGGGGTGCAGGGCGGGATGAGGGCTCCAGCTGGGGGTGCAAGCTCTGGGGTGGGGCTGGGGATGAGGGGTTGGGGGTGTAGGAGGGTGTTCCAGGCTGGGACCAAGGGTTTCAGAGGGTAGGAGAGGGATCAGGGCTGGGGTTGGGGCATGGGTGACGGTCAGGGATGCAGGCTCTGGGTGGCGCTTACCTCAAGCAGCTCCCAGAAGCAGCGGCATGTCTCCCTCCGGCTCCTACGTGGAGGCGCAGCCAGGCGGCTCTGCATGCTGCCCTGTTTGCAGGCGCTTGGGGCGGGGGCAGTGTGCAAAGCCCCCAGCTGCCCCTACACATAGGAGCCGGAGGGGGGACATGCTGCTACTTCCAGGAGCCACACAGAGTGGGGCAAGCCCCTGACCCCGCTCCCTGGCTGAAGTGCCGGAGCAGGGCAAGCCCTGGACCCTGCTCCCCAGCAGGAGCTCGAGGGCCAGATTAAAACATCTGGAGGGCCAGCTACGTCCCCCAGGCTGTAGTTTGCCCACACCTGTGGATCTAGAGGCCCTATGTGCCAACCCATGCAGGGTTTTTATGGCTTTACATACCTGATTTGCCCACCTCACAAACAAGAGGCCCATAAGATACTGATTCTATGATTTCTTAATTTCCATCATCACAATGTCGTTGCCCCTTTGGCCCAAGTAGCTACCAAGGTAGCTAGCTTCAAAGCACAATCTCCATCCAGAGCCCCAACTTTTAGCGCGGTCTATACAGCTATATTTAGAGCATTAACGCAAGCCATGATAGGTCAAGTCTGCTGACTCAGGCTGGGAGGGTTGCTCCAAAAAGCTGTATAGACAAACCCTAAGTATTAATAAGTACATGTCATACATAACTTCTTCTGAGGATGAAAGGCTAGGAAAGTTAACCAACAAGTTATAAGAATATGTAAGATAGCCAGATCTGTCCTACTCTTTCTCTCTAGTCCTCCTGCGGTCTGCTTTTTCATTTACAGTCCTAAACCACTGCGCCCCTTCTCCTTCCCACCACCTTTATAAATGTTACATGATTTTATATTCACTTGTACTTACTCACCAGTGTTGAATTTATACTCTATAAATATCACCTCTGGATTGGATTCATAGCCCATAAAAATTGACACATTTTAGATGAAGACACAATCTTTCAGTGGTTTTCCATCTTTGGAATCACTACGTGGCACAAACTGGTAGTGGTGTTATTTATACTTGATCAGTAACTTGACTGGGGCCTTTGAGAGCTATTGCAATGTAAATGGTGTCCTTCCTGACCCAGAGCCATTGTGCTTGGCACTGTACACAGCACAATAAAATACAGACCCTGCCCTCAGGAACAACTTCATCTCTATAGCCTGGATGCTACAACCATGAAGAATTGGGGCCCAGGGCTACAGCTGTCAAACATCCCCAAGGACTTTGTTCCCGCTCCTGTGCAGCACCCTCTACTCCCAACACCTCGTCTCCCTACAGGGGAGACCCTGAGCCGCTGGTGGGGCCTTTTCCCCTTATCCTCCCACAAGAGCTTCATCCTCCCCCTGTTCAAATTATCCCACAAGGGCCTCAACGCCCCTGCCCCATCTGGGCTTTGCACCCGTCTCCCACACTAAACCCCCCAGCACTGGGGCATCCCTCCCATTCCCCTCTCAACGCAGCCCTTCCCCCACAAGCGCCTTGGTCGCGTTGGCCTATGTTCCAGCTCCCCTAACCTCACCCCAAGCCCCCTGCTTCTCCGTGCGGACTCTCCTCCCACGGCTTGCCCCGCCCCAAGCTGCCTCCCGTTCAACACTGAGCGACACAATTACAGTACCCGCCAGAGACCGCTGCTTACTGCGCATGCGCCAGCGCCAAACGGGGCCAACACAAAACAGTTCACGCTCGCCCCCGCTGTGGACGCATGCGCTCAGTAGAAGCCATTCTCCCCGCCCCCCTGTAGCATAGCTATTCCACTGCGCATGCGCCGTTCACAAGGCACACCTGGTCCCTCTACGTAGCCCGAAGCCCCGCCACAGCGCATGCGTTAGATGCTGCCTACATGTCACCATGGTAACAGGACGCGGAACCGGGCCCGTGTGAGTGGGGTTTGCCTGCGGCTGCCATGTCGGACATTCTGTGCGAGTGGCTGAACCGGGAGGTGAAGCTCTCCCGGACCGTGGGTGAGTCAGGGGCTCCGACACCTGGGTCCTGGGCAGCGTGGTAAGGATACGGGGGGCTGGTGCCCCATAGGGGACGGTGCCGCAGCTGGGGAGGCAGGGCCCGGGGGTGCCCACAGACCACCGTGTGCCTAGGCACCTCTAGGGGTTCCCCTCAGGTGTGTCTGTTCGCAGGGGCCGGTGGATAGGAGCCCCCGGGCAATTCTTCGTTAGGGCGTTACGTACGGTGCAAGGGCTTCCGAGTTGCTGCCCGAAGGGGAGTCCCAGAGGGCAGTGCACCGGGGGATGCCCCCTCGGCCTGCGCCACAGCAAGACGGCCTCAGGATCAATGTGCAGCTAGAGAGATGGGGGGGTTCCCTGCTCGACTTTCGATGTGCCGTGGGTGGGAGTCACTTTTGGGGAGACTTTGGCGTCCGGGAGACGGGTGAGGTTGTCTTGGCGTCTGCAGGCAAGTTTGGGACTGTGGTGACTGGGTAAGGTGGGAGTAGCAGGAGGGTTCTGCTGCTGGGATGGCAGTTGGGTTGTTGGCACGTTGGTATTATTCATATACTCACTATACCTGGAGTAGGATTTGTGCACTCTCTGTAATAACTACTTTCAACTGAAAATACCGTCGCCCTAATTCTCTTCCATACACGTCTGAATTTTGATTTACCTATAGACGTATTCATGTACCTTCCTGCAGATGCCACATGCCATATATGAGAGTTACTGACCTTGAGGTAATGCCAGTGGCAGTAGTAGTACTACATGATAGCTCTGGCTGATCTATAAGTGAATTCACCCTCTTTCCTCAGATCCAAATAAAGGGCTAAAACCAGCTGTGGATTTTACTTTTTCCACACAAACAATTACAACATAATTTAAAAATCTCGAAAATAACTTTTGTGAAAAAAATGGTGATGATTCTCCCCTAGATCCCCGTGGACTCGGGGGCCATGAAAAATTTCAATTCTATCAATTAATAAGGACTTGAGGATAGAAAGTACCTGAATGTATGTTTATACAGCAATTCCTGCTGTTTGAATTATTGACTTTAGAGAAGCATCTATTCTATAATGAGAGAGACATCCCTTACTGAAAATCAGGCATATTAGAACATATTTACTGGCTGGTTTTGTTTCTGTGTGTGTTTTAGGAGCAGAAGAGTTAGTAACTGTAACCTGTCAAGTATTGGTTTTGCAAAATTTTAATTTTGAGCCAAATGTAAATAGTTATAACAGTGTAATTTACCTTTTGATATTGAAATTTAGATTTTAGATGATGGAGTAGATTATGGAATTTGGCTCTTAGTAGAGTTATACAACATAAGTACTGGCTACTTGAAGACCATTTCTAATCCTAAAGTTATTTTATTATAGTCATTTAATTAACAAAACTTTAAAGTTAATTTACAGTGTAAAGATTTTATAAGAGCAATAATGAGTTGAACTAAAAATTAAGTATAAGTCTCTGATGTTATACACATTCTGTAATGATCTCTAATATTATTCATATGGTAATTTGTATTTTGTTGCTGTTGCTTGTTTTTTAACCCAGATCCAAAATCATTCCCAAAAGAATTTTCTACTGGCTACCTAATTGGAGAAATTCTGCACAAATATGAACTTCAGGATGACTTTAACCAATTTTCACAAAGCAGGTTTGTAACTTAAGGCACAGCTAGAGCATGTATTATATCTCCTATGTAACTTATACAAGATGTTTGTTTATCATTGAAGATTTTTTAGTGATACCTAGCAGGATTTGATGAAGTTACATACCAGTCATTAGTTAGCGACATATTATATGCGCTAGCTGCATTAATTAGCTGCATACTTCCAAAGGATCTGAACATTCATTAAATATTTACTGGAAAGATATACGAGGATGATTAATTGTGCTGCAATCCTTTATGTCAATCAGCATGGTCCTATGGAAAATAGGTATTTGATTTAGCACTGCATGAACTTTTTAAAAAATTAGCACTGTACAAAATTGATGTAATATATTAAATAGATTAAAAACTGGGTAACAGAGATCTCAAAAATAGGAAAATAATCATTCTATGGAGTGTTTCTAGTGGAGTCCTACAAAGATCTGTTCTTGTTCTAATGCTATTCAATATCTATAAAGTCAGTGCTGATAAAGTTTCCAGGTGACACAAAAATTGGTGGAGTGGTAATTAACCCATCGTCAGTTATACAGAGAGATCTGGATCCCTTGTTAAACTGAGCTTATTAAAACACAAGTTCAAATGGAGCCAAATGCAAGGTCATATATCTAGGAACAAAGAATGTAGGTCATACTTACAGGATGGGGGACCGTATCCTGGAATGCAGTGACTTTTAAAAGGCCTTAGGGATCATGATGGATAACCAGTTGAACATGATCTGCCAGTGCAATGCTGTGGCCAAGTGGGCTAGCACAATCCTAGGTTTATAAGCAATGGGAACATCACATAGGGAGGTGATACTATCTCCCTATACAGCATTAGTGAGACCATTACTGGAGTGAAAATGAAGGTCTGTTTGATACTAGGTTCCTCTGTAAGGAGAACTCTTCAGAATAGTATATCTTTGCTGAACCATATTACAGAAAGAGCTTAGCCTCTCCATAGCTATTTGTGAAACAAGGCTTAAGTCATAAGCCTGATTTTCTCCTTCCATTTCTTATATTTGCCAAACCAAAGCCAATCCATTTGTAATTTGACAGGGCATGATTTTTAGGAGAGAGACTTTGAAGGAATTATGAGAAGGTCATGGGCGGTGTATGAACCACCGGCTGGGGGAGGCTAGTCCTCAGCCCCCACCCCTTCCGCCCACACCGGAGCCCAGAGCCACACCCCCCAGCAGAGTGCAGAGACGCCCCCTCCCCCACCGCAGCCACTGGCCCAGTCCTGCGGTTAATCCCCCAGCCCCAAAGGAGCACCGGGAGGGCGCGCGAAGGTGGGCGGCACGTGGCCCCAGCGCCAAGAAGGTGGCCGGCCCCAGACTGCCAGGAAGGCGGGCGGCCCTGGCCTCCCCGGCCCCGGACTGCCGGGAAGGCGGCCAGCCCTGGCTTCGGACCGCCCGGAAGGGGCCAAGTATCAGTCAGAGGCATGTCCCTCATTCTTTTAACATATCAGTCAGAATGCACTTCTGATGTAAATTATGCAGGAATTGGAATCTACAATAAGTTTCCCATTGACTGGGCAAAAGACATTATAATAAAATCTTCCA